TGTGCATCTGTAATAACACTATTAGATGATGCCCATAGTATAAGCCTTCTATTCAGTATTGAGGTGAACAATTTACAAAAGCAACTAATAAGGCTTATACCTCGATAATTATTGGGATCGTCTGGGTCACCCTTCTTAAAAACAGGGACAATAATAGCATCAGACCATTGTGTTGGGAAATAACCGGATGTTAATATACGATTAAAAATAATATGTAAATATGATAAAAATATATCCTTGAATTCTATAAAGTATTCATTCAAAATATAATCATTCTCGTTTAAGACAATCTATAGCATCCTATATTTCTTTTTCAGTGATTTCAGTATCTAGTTCCTCAAACACGGTATTTCCTGTGTCCACGAGGGATTCGTTATCCGTATTGGTAGAAGATGTAGATAAATCTTTGAAATGTCTTAGAAATACTTCCAAATCAATTGATGCATGTTTTTGTTTTCTTTTTCGAAAATGCTTGTAATATATATTTGGGTTATCGTTCCGGAGATGATCCAATAAATCGGTTTCTTTCCGTAAATACTGGCGTCTAAGTTTTGCTTCTGAATGCTTGTAATTTCTTTTAGCCTCGGTTAAATTCAAATGGTTTTCTCTGTTTTTCGCATTATTATAACGGCAAAATTATTATTATCTTGTTATCTTTCACAAGATAATATCTCGTTTCACAAGATATTTTGTCGTTTTCACAAGATAATATCTCGTTTTCACAAGATAATATTTCGTTTTCACAAGATATTATGTCGTTTTCACAAGATAATATCTCGTTTTCACAAGATAATAAGTTGTTTTCACAAGATAATTATGTCGTTTTCACAAGATAATAAGTCGTTTTCACAAGATATTATGTCGTTTTCACAAGATAATAAGTCGTTTTCACAATATATTATGTCGTTTTCACAAGATAATATCTCGTTTTCACAAGATAATTATGTCGTTTTCACAAGATGATAAGTCGTTTTCACAAGATAATATCTCGTTTTCACAAGATAATATCTCGTTTTCACAAGATAATAAGTCGTTTTCACAAGATAATATCTCGTTTTCACAAGATAATTTTTTTTCTGGTATTTAAAAAAATATAATTGCCTGTCCTAAATGTACCACCGTACCTATGCATACCTTGTTTTAAATTATCAACAACAAATATATGAATATTGACGAAAAGACGCATATTAAAAGTAAACAAACTGCAAAAAGGTTGCCAAAGATGAATTTAAGACACTTAGAAATAAATTTTCTAGCACGTGGTAACAGTCTACCACATTTACGAGGATTGGGGGTGCAGTAACGATAACTTTGTTTCGCTCGTGTAAACGCAGTTCACTGACTAAATTTAAAAAAAAATGTCAGTTAGAAATACGCAAAATGTACGTTACCATACATAACGTACATTTCAAATATAAAAATCAATTCTCTTCCACAAGCGTACGTTACACACGCAATATATTGATACTATTTGAACTTGCATATCATAAGAAATGCATCATACAGGTTTCGTATTCAGAAATATATATCAGGTATCAAAATTATATTACATATAAATGACCTTAATATAATTTTTTCATCAGCAGAAACGTTTCTTTTCATTAATTTTTTGGATTTAGCCGACCTCCAACTTTTGAAACTTTCCTTTGTGTACACATTGGAGTGTGTGAAAGTATGAAAATACATGAAAATTCGTGCGAGATTTACTTAATTCGAATTTCGATTCATGGTAACGTACATTTTAGTCACGTACATGTACATTTCGAATGACCACTTTTCATGTAAAAAAATAAGTTTTAGTTGCGTTAAGCAAAACGTCTTTGTCAGTTTACAGGATACAAGGGGTTGCTTACTCAGAGTCGTCTCATATTTTCTACTTAATCTATATTTTTAATGGAAGAATATAGTGTAACGTACATTTCTTTCTTTAATCTCTACGATTGAAAATGTCTTTCACTTCCGTAAACATATTTATAAAAGTTGCTCGAATTGTTCAATTTCATGTTACATTATCTAAGTTTGAGTAAATAATCCCTTGAAATTTCAAATTTAGCCCATCAATTAATAAAGGAGAAAAAAACTATCAGGTGTTTATAAAATCTTTGTGTTTGCTTGCAATGTGGTTGAAATAGAATCAAGTGACAGGGACATTGCACAATAAAAATGATTTATTATCACAAAGAAAATGTATTTATGGTATAAAAAGGAATATATATGATACAAGGTTTAACTTATCAGAAAATTTTTACTTGAGAATCAAAACTGCATATTACACAGAGGGGATTAAGCATAATATTTGCCTCGGCGACAGTAACGTACATTTCAAATACGCTACTATATTTGAATTTGGAACTCCTTCAATACCCTTTCAGATCGATAATTATATGAATTCGTATTCATTGTTATATGACTATTTATAATGTTGATTTGAAAATTACATCAGTGGTATTTCTTCTAAATGAAAATGAGGCGACATTATTTAAGCCCTTATATTGAGAATAGGTGATAGTGTTTCACAAACACACCTTGTTTTTAGGTCACCTGAGTAACTCAGGTGACCTATTGCTATCCGTTTTCGTCCGTCGTCGTGCGTCGTGTGTTAACATTTGAACATTTTCAGCTTCTTCTCTAAAACCCCTGTTCCAATTTCAACCAAATTTGGTATAGAGCATCTATAGATGAAGGGGAACAAAAATTGTTAATTTCATGGTCCCCGCCCCACTGGGGCCTGAGGGGTGGGGCCAAAACCACTAAAATTATTACAATATTTAAAAATCTTCTTCTTTACTCCTGGACATCAAGCAGGCAAACTGTTGGCAGGAATGTAATGAGCATTGAGTCATCTACCAAAATTGTGAAATTCATGGCCCAAGGGTCAGGGGTTCTAGTGCTAAGGCGGGGCTATATAGATTATATAGTGAAAATGCATTATTTCTTTGAAAATCTTCTTCTCTGCTACTGGGTATTAAATAAGCTAACTAAGAACATAGTAATGATAAGCAAGAGTGCCTCTTCTAGATTTGTGAATTTTATGGACCCAGGGTCAGGGGTTCTGGTGTTAGGGCAGGGCTATATAGATTATATTGTGAAAATGCATTATTTCTTAGAAAATCTTCTCTCTGCTACTGGGTATTAAATAAGCTAACTAAGAACATAGTAATGATGAGCAAGAGTGCCTCTTCTAGATTTGTGAATTTTATGGCCCCAGGGTCAGGGGTTCTGGTGTTAGGGCAGGGCTATATAGATTATATTGTGAAAATGCATTATTTCTTAGAAAATCTTCTTCTCTGCTACTGGGTATTAAATAAGCTAACTAAGAACATAGTAATGATAAGCAAGAGTGCCTCTTCTAGATTTGTGAATTTTATGGCCCCAGGGTCAGGGGTTCTGGTGTTAGGGCAGGGCTATATAGATTATATTGTGAAAATGCATTATTTCTTAGAAAATCTTCTTCTCTGCTACTGGGTATTAAATAAGCTAACTAAGAACATAGTAATGATGAGCAAGAGTGCTTCTTCCAGATTTTTGAATTTTATGGCCCCAGGGTCAGGGGTTCTGGTGTTAGGGCGGGGCTATATAGATTATATAGTGATAATGCATTTAATCTTTGAAAATCTTCTTCTCTGCTTCTGGGTATTAAATAAACTAACTAAGCACATAGTAATGATGAGCAAGAGTGCCTTTTCCAAAATTGTGAATTTTATGGCCTCAGGGTCGGGGGTTCTGGTGTTAGGGCGGGGCGCAATTGATTATATAGTGAAAATGCATTTATTCTTTGAAAATCTTCTTCTCAGCCTCTGAGTATTAAATAAACTAACTAAGTAGATAGTAATGATGAGCAAGAGTGCCTCTTCCAGATTTATGAATTTTATGGCCCCAGGGTCAGGGTTCTGGTAGTAGGGCAGGGCTCTTTTGATTATATAGTGAAAATGCATTTATTCTTTGAAAATCTTCTTCTCTGCTTCTGGGTATTGAATAAACTAACTAAGTAGATAGTAATGATGAGCAAAGTTGCCTCCTCCAGATTTATGAATTTTATGGCCCCAGGGTCAGGGGTTCTGGTGTTAGGGCAGGGCTCTATTGATTATACAGTGAAAATGCATTTATTCTTTGAAAATCTTCTTCTCTGCTTGTGGATATTAAGTAAACTAACTAAGTACATAGTTATGATGACCAAGAGTGCCTCTTCAAGAATTGTGAATTTTATGGCCACAGGGTCAGGGGTTCTGGAGTTCTGGGGGCTCTATGATTATATAGTAAAAATACAATAATTCTTTGAAAATATTTTCTTTTGCTTCTGGGTTTCATACCAATGATCCAAGCATATATATTTATGATGAAGAAAGGTGCATCTAGCAAAGTGGTTTTTTTTATGCCCCCTGGGTCAGAGGGGGTGGTGGTTACATAGTCTGAAAATAAATTAATGCTTTGAAATCTGCTCTTTGGTATTAATAAACCATTTTATGATAAAATTTGCAAAATTTTGAAGTATGTGGCCCCTGGGTCAGTGGTTCTTTTGGGGTGAGGTGCACAACAGGGTATAAAGTGGATCGAAGTGCATTTTCTCTTTGTTACTCTGATGTACCTCTGGGTATTAAGTAAATAGAGTAAGCATGCTAAGTTAATTATTATGATGAACAATGGTGCCTCTTTCAAAATTGTGAATTGTGAATTTCACGGCCTCTGGTTTCAAACACGAACCAAATTTTATTGTTTGAAAGTTGTTACACAATACTCAGGTGACCTATAAGGCCCGTGGGCCTCTTGTTTAATCATATTGATCATTTTAAATGAACAATTCATAGATGGAATGTTATTAATCTTATTAACGACAAATATGGTATACAAAGTTTCGAATATCTTCCCAATAAAGGAAAGTTAATAATAAACTATTCGGTTTTTCATGGGAAAACTCATTCATATGGATAGGATGATCAAAAAGAAAGTAGATCATATGGGTTTTTCCGTTTATTCTTATTTTAAATTATGAGGATTTTCATTCATTATTAAACACATCACGGAAAACAGGTACGTTTTATTGACTGGCAATTGAAAACTATTAAATTAAACATTAATTTTATAATAAACTGCAAATTTATATATACATTTTTGAACTGTAAAGAGTTTATTAACTTTGCATTTTTTAAAAGCAACGATACAAACAAAATGATGATGCCAACAAAGATATACTGAGTATTCAAATCTACACGGCATTTGAACAAATACTAGAAGTACTTAAAATTTTCGTATTTGGGTTTTATAACTCCTTTGATTTCAAAGATGTCTTTAATGTCCTGATATATTTATTATTTTTTATCATTAGAATGGATCACATTCCCCGTCTATCAGAGGTCCTGTACGTGGGTCTGTGTCGTAAGATAGGGACACCGACAGAAGTGGCCCTCAGAAGGGACATGAGGGACATTGAGGAGATGATCGAGAAACCTGTTCAAATGTTGACTGGACAGATATTTATGTATAGTGGTAGTTACAGGGAGGGCTTTAGGTTTGCCTCTTCTGATTGGGATATAATGCGTTGGGATCCTAGTCATAAAATGATAAGCACGCTATCCCAGACCAGTATTTACGATGCATCAAAACATACCATTATTCTAATGGAGGCATCAGATACACCGCCTGGATTTGTCAGATTACAACTTCTTACACAGCCTAACGACGACTTCATCAAATCAGCATTTGTTTCCTTGGAGGGTATACGTTATCTTTCAAATCTGTTATGGAAAGAAATTTCGTTGAAAATATCTAAAAAATTCAAAACATTTAAAAATGTGAACGGTCATGGTCCTTGCTCAAGTGGTTATATTGGCGATGTTGAAGTTGATCATGCTGATTGTTTTATCAGTAAACATTGGACAAAAATAACAAGTAATTGGATTGAACGATCTTACCATTACACCTGGCCTTCTGAATGTGTGTTAACTGAAATTCTGAAGAACGGTTTTCATTGTGTTGCTATCGGCAATAATATTTTATCTCCTTCCTATGAACTAGAGTGGAGATTATCGTTTTCTGTAGCCGAACAAAAATTAGTTTGTACCATGAACCATACCCAATTCTTATGTTACGGACTTCTGAAAATATTTCTGAAGGACGTAATGAATCACAGTATTCACGAACCATTACTTTGTTCATATCACATTAAAACGACAATGTTCTGGAGAATGCAATTGGAAACTATTCAATGGTACCCAAACAATTTACTGAACTGTTTCTGGAAATGTTTCAAATATCTCATTCATTGTGTTTACCGTGGCGAGTTTCCCAATTTTTTCATTCCACAAAATAATATGTTTTCAAACAAAGTAATTGGATCTGCTCGAAGTTGTCTATTAGAACAACTTAATCAATATTACAGGATGGGCATGTCTTGTCTTCTTCTTAGTCCGACTCTCAGATCAATCCTCGATCCAGCTCTAAGGACTCCGTCGTTTTCGGTTCATTTTGTCGAGGGTCATGTTAAATCTCTTTTAGAAATAGATTATCATGCCAAAATTGAAATATTTTCTCATTCGGTTACAAATAGTTCTTATCAAGAAGTTGCTACACAGTTGATATCGATAGAAAGATTATTGCAATCATCATTTTCGCCAAACCAAACACTAACATTACAATATTATACAGCTCAAACTCTTATTGACATGGTGTTCATTGCAGCACAAAGTTCTTCCCGTAGCACTCATAAAGAGATATTTGCATTAGAAAGAACATTTTGTAACATACTGAAGCTGGCTGGAAGGATAGGTTATGTGTCAGATTTACTGTACTTAGCTTTGTATTACTATAAAATTGGTAGATATCATGGAACTGTTAGGTTAATTCATTTTATCAGAAGAAAGCTTTCACAGCCCTTTATCTTTTACAATCGTCCAGATAGACAGGGATATGAAGCTGTATGTAATCTGTCTACGTCTGGACGAAGGAAAAAGGCATGGGCAAATGACCTAAATCTTAAAGTTGGTGTTTCATATATTCGAGAATTATTATTAGAACAATTAGAAGCCGATAAGAATGGAAAGTCCACTCTATTTATATCTCCATTTCTAACATTGGAATGGTTGTCCGTGTTATCTTACTACAGACTAGGGAATCAGTCTCTATATCAACAGTCACTGTCATACTTAAAAACTCTACTGTTACATGATGATGGGAGATATATACCTACACACAACAGAGATCTAGCCTGGCAGATGCTTGGGATTTGTCAGCAAGTGGTTGGGGACTTACAGGGGGCTTTATATTCTTATCAAGAATCACTAAAACAGAAGCCATTCTACCAAATACAGAAAGCTACAGAAGCTAGAATAAGCCATGTTGAGAGGCAACTTCAATAAACATTCTAGGTCCTCAAGAGCTGGTGAAACAATGGACAGAGATCAGATTTAAGATTTAAAAAACATGGGACTTATGAAACATGTAGCTTAACTTATTTTGGTTGTTAAGTTCTTATACATAATCATGATAATATTCAGAGTAATTATTTATTTTAAACTTAAATCTAAGTAAGGGTATCTCTGAAAACTTAGTTATTTGATCGATTTAGCAACCTCAATGTCATTATAACCAACTGATGTACAAATTTGATTTGTGTTGTTTTTTAATCTGTGAGACATTTATGTGATTGAATCAATAAATCTTAAAATAAAATCAGTTTGTGGAAATTCAAATAAAATTTAAGCATTTGGTGGTACCAGTTAGTTTAAACCTTTCAGAGTGAGATTAAATTATTAATATCTGATTAGATTAAAAAAATAATTCAATTAATAGGTGTAGGGTAAGAATGTTATGGGCCCTTAGACGTTTTTGTCCTATGTCGATAACTATAAACAAATGCCAAATACTAGTATTAATTGATATAATTGGAATTAACTGGCATTTGAAGTGTTTCTGTTATCATAAATAAATGAAATACAAGGTATTTTAAAAAAACTATTTCTTGATAATGAAATTCTAATAAACCCTTTTCACGTGAAGTTTTGAGGGGGAGGAAGGGGGCACTTGATGAGGACTCAGTTTTTTGTTATTACATCGAACTTTGGTCTCCCTTCTGATTTAGTTGGATTGTTGACAGCCCCGTTAATCCATAAATATGATATAATTTATACTTGCATTAAAAAGACAAGTTAATGACAAATAAGGTGATGACACAAGGGTATCAAGTAAACATGTCGCAATATCTATATATATAGTCGATTTAATGACCTTGTCAGCAAATACAGCTGAAAGCTCAAGTGAGCTTTTCTGATCAAATTTTGTCTGTTATCCGTCTATTCGTCCGCCTGTCTGTAACCTTTTCATATTTTCTACTTCGAACCACTGGGTTAATTTTTACCAAACTTGCCACAAAGCATTCTTGGGTGAAGGAAATTCAGGTTTGCTCAAATGAAGGGGAGATAATTTAGAAATAGTGAAAATTTAGTGACATGTTTTAAAAATCTTCTTCTCAAGAACAACTGTGTCAGAAAAGTTGAAACTTGTGTGGAAGCATGACCCCGGGGGTAAAGCGGGGCCACGAGGGACGATCAAAGTTCAACGTAGAAATATATGGGGACAAATTTTAAACTTTAGAAAAGCCATTTTTTTCCAAAACCACTGGGCCAGGAAAGATTAAACTCATTTGGAAATATCCCCAGGTTGTGCGGATTGCTTTTTTTCCCAAGTCATGACCCCTGGGAGTGGGACGGGCCACAATGAATCATTAAATTTTTCATAGGAATTAAAAAAAAATCTTCTTAACAACAGCAAAACCATAATTGCTCATATTCATATGGAAGCATCCTCAGGTAGTGTAGATTGAAGTATGTTCAAATCAAGACCCCTAGGGTAGGTCGGGGCCACAAGGGACGATCAAAAGGTTTACTTAGTAATGCATAGGAGAAATCTTTAAGATCTCAAGTACAGAAGTACTTTGATTGGTCATATTTATATGGAAGCATACACAGGTAGTGTAGATAGTAATTTGTTCAAATCATGACCCCGGGGTAGGGTGGGGCCACAATGGACGATCAAAGTTTTACATAGAAATGTATGGGATTTTTTTTAACACTGTAAACATTGTTGTGGGGTTGGTTTGTTTGTTTTTTGTTGTTGTTGTTTTCAAATCATGACCCCTGAGAGTGGGGTGGGCCACAATGAATCATCAAATTTCCATAGGATTTAAAAAAAAAATCTTAACAACAGCAGAGCCATGATTGGTCATTTTAAATGGGAGACCCCTTAGGTGGTGTAGATTCAATTTTTTTTAAAATTATAACCCCAGGGGTATGTTTTGGCCACAGAAGAAGATAAAGCTTGTAGAAAATTTTTTTTTTCAAACATCTAAAGCCATAATATGGTAACATGTTCAGTTAGTGTAGATTCAAATTCAAATCATGCCTCCTCCTTAGGGGTAGGTTGATACCACATATAAAGTACTAAACTAGACACGTGCTCAGGTGAGCGATGTGGCCCATGGGCAGGGGCGTAGCAACAGGAGGGGGGGGGGGCAGGGGGGCCCCCACTTTTTTCCTAACCCTACTTATACTGTAGGAAATGTTAATAGCAGCCTGGTTGCACCCCCCCCCCCACTTTTAGTGATGTACCGAAAATGTAGGATCAAAATTGGTACTGAAAGTAGTTGACACTGAAAAAAAGTTTGCACCCCCCCCCTCTCAAAAAAAATAAAAGGTTTTTCGACTTTAGGCAATTTTTCCTTCCCTTTCATATGAGGTTTTATTCAAGCAAAAAAGATACAATTCATTATCAATTACATTGTATGCGTCAATCCCGTCGTTCGAAGTTGAGCTGTAATAAAAATGTCCATCCATCTGTAGAGCTATAGATGTTTCATCTTTGCTAGCAGTGTCAAATATCAGCTCAAAGAATGACAGTTGCTATGCAATTTGACAACCTTTAAAATTTAGATTTGCGGCAG